CAAGGCTGCATTGAGCTATGATTGTGCCCTCGTACAGGTGACAGAGCTAGACCCTATCTCTAAAAAAAAAAAAAGAAAACTGATAAAAATTAAATATAAGTATTACTTCTTTTAAAAATAAAAATAATACACAAATTACATGTCAACAAAACATATATTTATGAAAAGCAAATTTTGAAACAAAAATATTACTGAGAAGAGTGGCACTGCTTTATATTTATATAAATCTTTTTTTTAAATTAACTAATTTTTTTTTTTTTTGAGACGGAGTGTCACCCACGCTGGAGTGAAGTGGTACGATCTCAGCTCACTGCAATCTCCACCTCCCCGGTTCAAGCAATTCTCATGCCTCAGCCTCCTGAGTAGCTGAGATTATAGGAGCATGCCACCATGCCTGGCTAATTTTTGTATTTTTAGTAGAGACAGGATTTTGCCATGTTGGCTAGGATGGTCTCTAACTCCTGACCTCAGGTGATCCGACTGCCTCAGCCTCCCAAAGTCCTGGGATTACGTATGTGAGCCACCACACCTGGCCCTAATTAATTTTTAGTTGACACATATGGTACATATTTATGGGATATGTGTAGTGATTAGATCAGGGTAATAAACATATGCCTCATCTCAAACATTTGTCATTTTTATGTGTTGGGGACATTCAATATCCTTTCTTCTTTATTTGAAATTACATAATATGTTATTGTTAACTGTACTCATCCTACAGTGCTACAAAACACTAGAAGTTGTTCCTCCTACCTGGCAGTGATTTTGTGTCATTGGACAAATCTCTCCCTATCCTCCCCTTCCCTCTCCAGCCTCTAGTAACTTCTATTCTGTTTTTGACTTCTGTGAGATTAATTTCTTTTTTTTTTTTTTTTTTTTTTTGAGACGGAGTTTCGCCCTTGTTACCCAGGCTGGAGTGCAATGGCGCAATCTCGGCTCACCGCAACCTCCACCTCCTGGGTTCAGGCAATTCTCCTGCCTCAGCCTCCTGAGTAGCTGGGATTACAGGCACACGCCACCATGCCCAGCTAATTTTTTGTAGTTTTAGTAGAGACGGGGTTTCACCATGTTGACCAGGATGGTCTCGATCTGTTGACCAGGATGGTCTCTATCTCTTGACCTCGTGATCCACCTGCCTCGGCCTCCCAAAGTGCTGGGATTACAGGCTTGAGCCACCGCGCCCGGCAATTTCTTTTTAACATCTATGAGTGAGAACATGTGGTGTTTAACTTTCTGTGCCTGGCTTATTTCACTTAACATAATGTCTTCTAGTTCCATCCATGTCACTTTGAATGACAGGATTTTATTCTTTTTAATGGCTGTAAATCTTTTAGATGTCTGGCTCAATAGAAGACAGCTGTATTCTCAAGTCAGCTATATCTTTCAATCTGCTGCAATATGTTTTGTGTTTGAAGTGTATGTAATCAGAAAAGGAACATTTCTTTCTTTTTTTTTTTTAAAGACAGGGTTTCACCATGTTGGTCAGGCTGGTTGAACTCCTGACCTCAGATGATTCGCCCGCCTTGGCCTCCAAAGTGCTTGGATTACAGGCGTGAGCCACCACGCCCGGCCTGGAAAAGGAACATTTCAATAGCCTTTTCAGATAATCATGGATGTTCTTTGATAAGACACCAAAACTCAGCAAGTGGTAGTTTTTTAAAGTTTAATTGTAACATGAAATCTGAAACCATAGCAATGACCTTTTTATACTCTATTATAGGAACACTCACAGTTTTTCTTGCCTTTTGAATGAATGTTTTACCCATGCAGGGTTTTGTCAACACATGCATTGGTCATTTGGAAATTGCTGGGGCACTGAGTTATGCAGATCTTCTAAATGTTGACATATTATACAACATCAAAAAATCACATTTATTAATACCAATACCCGTCTCATCAGAAAAAGTCTTTTGCTATTATCAAGCTCATAATAGCAGATAAAATTTTTCCAAAATTCTAACTTTTGCTCAAAAGGTTGAATTTTCTCATTGACGACAAACACTGTCAGTTGCTTTTCTTGAAGTGACAGGTGCATTTTATTCATTTTGGAGAAAATGTCTGCCAGATACCCAGGTCTGAATGATTATACTTTGTCTTTCAGCTGTACTTTCAGGTAAGAATGGTGCTCTGTGAGTCAAGTGGTTACTTCAGCTCACAACTCAATCACTTAAGGTTTTTCCCTCGAGAAAGTCATCATACTTTGATATGCAGCATAACTGCTTATGCATCCTTCCCATTTTGTCACACAGAATATTGAAAAGATGTGTCTCTAAGAGTTGAGATTTAATAAAATTTGTAACTTCTACTACAGCTGGGTGTCATTTGCTGATTTGTGCTAGCAGTTTTCCCCATTGTTGCTTTTGCAGGGTCCTTGAAACTGTCAATACCATGAAAAAGGCAAACAACGTCTTTATTATGATGAACCTAGTTTTAGCCTGGCTGATAGGGCCTCAGGGACTTCCAAGGTTCATGGACCACACATTAAGAACTGCTGCTCTAGAGGAACTCTTGCACATGTGAACAGGAAATATCTATCAAGAATGTTCAGGGCAGTACTGTTTATAAAAGCAAATGCCTGGAAACAACCCACATTTCTATCAGTAAGGGAGGAGAGAAACTGTTGGTAGATTTATATAGTGGTCTACTATCCTATATAGCAGTGACTGAGTATCCTAGCGCTCTGTGAAACAAACTAGATTAATTTCAGTGTCTTAATTTGTACTCCCCCAAAACAGAGTATGAGATGTGAGACAAGTCTTTCGGTGCAGGAGTGTGTTTAGGAGGTAATCCCAGGAAGCAGAAATGGGAGTGAGCAAAGAAGGAAAAAAGTCAATAAAAGGTGCAGTATGGAGGACCTGTCACTACGGAGTACCGTGCTCAGTCACATTGGGAACATTTGGAGGAATCATGTAGAATACAGCGCAGAGCTGAAGGTGTAAGGCTGGAGCATTTTCCCTTGACTCCCCTCACTGCTGTTTCTGTCTCCAAGACTTTGGCTTTGGTGAAATCCTGGGCTGCACAGCCTTCCAAGGCTTTGTAGAGAGCCCTGAGACAGGTAAGCCGAAGGATGCTGTGTCCTGTGAGGGGGCATGCTGGCAGCTTGCCTACAAGTCTCAGCTACACCAAAATTGAGTGGGCTGAGGGGACATGGTGTGGGTCACCACAGATGTCTGCTAGACTCAGAAATAAATGTTGGATAAAAAAAAAGGGAATCATTGGAAATTATGTACAATGGGCTCCAACTTTAAAAAGACATAAAAATGTATAATGTATTATTAAGGATATAATTATGGAGATTATGAATGTACACTTAAGGATATTATGAAAGCAAGACAGGAGGGAAGCGTTTATCACATGTTGAACAGTCAGCAAGCTTGCTTGTCAGAAGGCACATGTCAGGGTGTAGCTGGAGATAAAGATAGTGAGTTAAAGAAGGTGGCTAATTGGTGGATGTCTTTGAAACCAATCTTCCAATTTACTCTGATTTGAAAAGTAAAGGGAGGGAGGAAGGTTTTTAGAAAGAATGTGATAGGATCAAAACGCATCAAAGAGAATTACTATTGGCAGCATTGGAGGAAAAGGCAGCGGAGGGGCAAAGGTCCCTTCTACCTGGTCAGTCGTATTCAGTGGTTCCCTCGATTTTTGGGAGCCTCCTCTTTGCTCTGTTCTTTTATCAAAGGCCGACAGACAGGGTGTGGCTTGCTGGTTTAGAGGGACAGTTAGAAAGGAGTACTGTGGGGCAGAGAGAGCCCTGGCCTCTCATTTTATAAAATTTGAACTTTTCCCTGGCCCACATCCCTCGACCTTCCTGATGCTTCTGCCTGCTGCCCTCTGATCTCTCTTCATGGGTAAGGAGTATTTCCAGCTTGCAAACTCCAGCTTTGCCTGTGAGAGGAACAAGGGTCCATGATCCAGAAGGTGGTGAGTTCTCCCCTCTCTTCATATTGTTTAGTCCTTTAACTTTCTCAGGATCCTCAGGTTCAGTAGCGAAATAATCCCTTCTCCTTATGCACAAGAACATTTTCAAGGATGAAATGGGGCAGCTGTTAGCTATCCCTAAAGAAACTCAAAAGGAGACAAGTGACAAGAAAGCTGGATGGGATTTTTCAAAGGACTCTTATTTAAGTAATATTGTCATCATGATTAAGTTACAGAGAATGCTTATTTAGCTCTCACTATTTGCTGGACTCTGTGCTGTGTGCTTTCAGACTGATCATTTGCAGATTTGCAAGGTCATCTTAAACTGCTTGGGATTGTCAAGAGAACACCTGTTACAATCTTTTTTCTGATTTAGAAGTTTTAAAAATTAAACTGTTTCAAACTTAAAATGTAAATAACTGCCTGGGGGAAAATGTTTCCAACATGTGTAATGGAAAAAAAAATGGTTAGTTTATGAAGAATTTTGCAAGCCATTAAGAGATAAATGTCCCAATAGAAAAATGAACAAAGTACATAGACAGGTAATTGACAAAATCCAAATAACAAGTGAGTAATCAAAGAAATACAAATCAAAATAGAACACCATCAAATTAAAAAAAAAAGAGATAGCATTTTGTTACTCATCAAATTGGCAAATATTTTTTTAAAAATGATAACATCCAGTGATAGTAAGGTTGTGGGAACAATTTCACATAATACTTTGGTAAATTAATGCGACTTTTCTGGAGGGCAATTTGGCAGTGCAAATGAAAAGTCTTCCCATTTTAAAGATGGGAAACTCAAGACTTAAGAATCTAAGTGACCTGCTTAAAGTCAGGACCAGGTGCGGTGGCTCATGCCTGTAATCCCAGCACTTTGGGAGGCTGAGGTGGGCGGATCACAAGATCAGGAGATCGAGACCATTCGCCAACATGGTGAAACCCTGTCTCTACTAAAAACACAAAAATTAGCTGGGTATGGTGGTGCACACCCATAGATAGTCCCAGCTACTCAGGAGGAGGTTGCAGTGAGCCGAGATCGCGCCACTGCATGCCAGCATGGCGACAGAGCGAGACTCAGTCTTAAAAAAAATAAAATGAAAAAAGTTACAAAGTCATGCAGGAGTAAGGGACCAAGCCAAGACTAGGACTGAGCCCTCTGATTCTAGACCTCAATTCACTGTCACCTGTAGCAATGTTTGTAATAGTGATGTATTGGAAAACAACCTAAATATCCTCCAATATAGAATTATTTTAAAACGTTTACATTTTATAACCTAATTTCTAAAATTCTATGTCCATAATGGAATCCTAAGGTCATGTAAAGAATATTCAATCACCTTGGGAAATGCACATAATATAGCACTTGGTGAACATATCAGGTATCAAAACAGCATATAAAGTATTTATTTTTTTATTTGAGACAGGGTCTTGCTCTGTCGTCCAGACTGGAGTGCAGGGGTGCTTCATAGTCACTAGAAAGTTGAAGGATTTTGGGCTTGGGGATAACTCTAGGAAATCATGGGCCCTGCCTACTTCTACCTTCAACCATAATTGATAAAATAGAGAGCTTTTCTCATTTACTTAATTTCTCTTGTGTAGTTTTTGAGTAGCTTTACAGGAGGAAATCCTTTAGGGTCTCCCTGTGGTTAATGCACACAGTCATCTGTACCTGCCAGGGATAATTTTCCTCATTTAGTTAGTAATAATAACAACGACTCCATGCTTATTGAGCACTTGTTCTGCCAGGCATTTGTGGCCAGTGCTTTGCAGGGACTATCTCTTTGAACCCTCACACTCACCTGTGAGGACAATTCCCCTTTATAGATTAAGAACCCGAGGCCCAGAGATGTTATGCAACTTTCCTAGGGACACAGAGCTACTAATAGGCAGAGCTTAGACTTGAACCCAGGTCTTTCTAGCTCCAGACACTGAATTTGTAGGATTAGTGCCTTCAGGGTGACATGGAGGGATCTCACTGCCTTGATCTGTTATTTGTCAAGAGTCAATTGGAAGGCTGTCAGGGAAGACCTCCAGGCTGCATCATGGGCAAAGACTGGCTTGAAACGGCACTTTCCAAGCCTCGCCTTGGACATCATCTATAAAAAGAGGCCATGGCTGGGCGCAGTGGCTCATGCCTGTAATCCCAGCTCTTTGGGAGGCCCAGGTGAGACCAGCAAGGAGAAACCCCATCTCTACTAAAAATAGGAAATTAGCTGGGCATGGTGGCAGGTGCCTGTAATCCCAGCTACTCAGGAGGCTGAGGCAGGAGAATCGCTTGAACCCGGGAAGTGAAGGTTGTGGTGAGCCTGAGATCGCAACATTGTACTACAACCTGGGCGACAAAAGTGAAACTCCACCTTTAAAAAAAAAAAAAAAAAAAAAAGGCCATTAATGGTGTTTCCTCGGTTAGTTCTGGGTATAAGTTCTGGATCCTCACTCATCTCATCTGCACTGTCACCCTCACTCACTGCATTTAGAGACTTAACACGCCAGCCTCCTTGTGAACATTTACCGCTTTCAACCCCCACCATAATCCCTCAAGGAGGCACAGTTCACAAAATACCCGTTTTGAAGGTGAAGAAAGAGTCTCAGAGAAGTTTGGTCGTAATATCCCGAGGAGGTAAGTAGCAGAGCTGGGACTGGAGCCCCGGCCTTTGTGATCCCAGAGCACCAGCAAAGCCGTGTCAGCCCGGCTCCTGGGTCATACCCTCTGTCACGCCAAGCCCATCAGCCCGCTCGTGCTGTCTCCCTGTCTGTCCTAGTTCGGATGGAGATGGCGAGTTCCGCTGCCTCCTGGCTCTCTGGCTGCCTCATCCCTCTCGTCTTCCTCCGGCTGCCTGCACACGTGTCAGGTAGGAGTTTCTGATCCTCTTTCCTTGCCTGGTACATGGGATGCTGGCATCATAGAATAAGGAAGCTTGGTTGGAAACATTATTGCTTTTGGGGTTCTGTTCCCTCCGCCACAGCAATCCTTTCTAGAGCCCTTCCCGGGCTCTGTCCATCCCTGGGATATCCCCTTCCTCGTCCCTTCGCAAGCTTTCTCCTGCGCTCCCTCCCAGTCAGCCTTGTCTTTTTTTGGTCCAGGCCTCGCAGGGGATGCCGGCAAGTTCCACGTGGCCCCGCTAGGGGGCACAGCCGAGCTGCTCTGTCCTCTCTCCCTCTGGCCCGGGATGGTGCCCCAGGAGGTGAGGTGGCTGCGGTCCCCGTACCCGCAGCGCTCCCAGGCTGTTCACGTGTTCCGGGATGGGAAGGACCGGGATGAAGATGTGATGCCGGAATATATGGGGAGGACGGCGCTGGTCAGAGACGCCCAAGAGGGAAGCGTCACTCTGCAGATCCTCGACGTGCGCCTGGAGGACGGAGGGTCTTACCGATGTCTGATCCAGGTTGGAAATCTGAGTAAAGAGGACACCGTGATTCTGCAGGTTGCAGGTTAGGATGGGTTTGAGGTGCCCAGGGTCATCTGTGGCAATTGGACAAGCTCAATCAGGACCTCCATGTCTAGGCTTTTATTTTATCTGCAGTGTAGTTTTTACTTGCCAGGACAGCTCAGCCTTACCCAGACACCTCCATCGATCTCAGCCGAGGCTATGAAGCTGGCCCAGGCATTTCTGATAAGGATGGAACCCAGACTTTGGAAAACGCGGTACAATGCAGGTCCTGGTTAAATAGGGCTTGGAGGCTCAGATAGTTGCTTTTCCTCCCTAGGTCATCTTTCTATGCTCCATTATCAAGGAACTCATTATGATGGCTTCAAGGGACAGATCCCCTGCTGTGATAAGGTTTACTTAATGGGACCTCTCCTGGGATTCCTGAGTACATAAAGGGTCAAAAATGTAGAGATAGTGTTACTCTCTCACTCCCCCCCCCACCTTTTTTTTTTTTTTTTTTTTTAGACAAGGCCTTACTCCGTTGCCCAGGCTGGAGTGCAGTGGTACAATCATAGCTCACTGTAGCCTCAACCACCTCAAGTAATCCTGCGACCTCAGCCTCTCAAGTAGCCAGGACTACAGATACACTGCCATGCCTGCCTAATGTTTTTTTACTTTTAGCAGAGATGGGGTCTCCCTATGTTACCCAGACTGGTTTCCAACCCAGCAGTCCTCCCTGCTTGGCCTCCCAAAGTGTTGGCATTACAGGTGTGAGCCACTGCACCCAGTTGAGAGTGTTCTCAAACTAGCTTCAATATTTTAAAAAAATTAGTCTACCCAAAATCAGTCCACCAAAAAAATCAGTTTACTAATATTTAAAAAAATCAGTCTATCAAACCAAACCCAAATCAACCCAACCCAAACCATGTCTTTGCATTTGCTTGAATGACACTGGATTCACATGGTCACATGCTGATTATCTTTTGGTCATAACTGGAATTGCATACCATGAAGTGAGGATGAATCAATTGCTTCAAAACTAGTAAGTGTTTTGAGGTAATTGATTCATCCTCACTTCATGGTATGCAACATGAAAGACAGACTTTCCAAATATGGAGTCCTTTGGGGTGAAAAATAATTTTTTTGTTGTTGTTGAGACAGAGTTTCACTCTTGTTGTCCAGGCTGGAATGCAATGGCGCAATCTCGGCTCACTGCAACTTCCACCTCCTGGGTTCAAGCGATTCTTCTGCCTCAGCCTCCCGAGTTAGCTGGGATTACAGGTGCACACCACCACACCCAGCTAATTTTTGTATTCTTTAGTAGAGACAGGATTTCCCCACATTGGCCAGGCTGGTCTTGAACTCCTGACCTCAGATGATCTGCTCACCTCCGCCTCCCAAAGTGCTGGGATTGCAGGCGTGAGCCACCACACCCAGCTAAAAAGTAATTTTTAAAAGGGGACCAAGGTGCCCAAAGGAATCTGAATCGTGTGATACAGTTATTGCCATGGGTACATTTTTAAATGTTTGAGAATAAAGCTAGACACTGGCTTATCCTATTGGGAGGAGTGTGGGGAGAGGGTGGAGAGAAGGCAGACATTCAAGTTCCATTAACAGCTGCCTCTGTTCATCACAGGAGGCTATGGGGGAAGAGGGCTCTAGCTGGACCACACCCTAGCGGAGGACCTGCTGGTGTGCACATTGGTGGGATGGGTCCCAGAGCCCTGGGCCAAGTGGAGAGACCCTCCAGGCAGGGTACTTCCATCCCTGTCAGAGGCCCACTCTCTGAAAAAAGCTGGGCTCTTTCAAACAGCAGTGTCTAGCAGAGTCAGGGACAGCGCACTGGGGAATGTGTCCCGAACTGTCCACAACATGGCCCTTGGCCAAGAGAAGACCACGGCCGTGGTCATAGCAGGTAAAAGCTGGGGTGGAAACAGGTTTGAAGCCGCTGGTGCTTCCAGAGGAAACTCCTACCCTAGTAGGAGCTTTAAGAGGAATTTTCGATTTTTTAAAATTCTAAGGATAAAGCATGTATATTATATAAAATTGGAAAAAAAATCTAAAATATTTAAAGGAAACTGAACAATGGCCTATAATAGCTTAAACTGGAGAGAACTGCTGCGAACATTTTTGTGTCTTTCTTGCAAGACTTTTTTGTATATATGGATCTCTGAGCTTGTATATGTTGACATACGTGTATTCTTGTGCCCAGGATTTTTTTCCACTTAGGATGTCATGAGCACTTTTTTTTTTTTTGCCCATGTCCCTAAGTAATATGATTTTAAGGGCTGCATAGTATTTCACCATGTGGCTATAGAATAATAAAATTAATCAAAGCCTTGTTTCTGGGCATCTGGATGCTTTTCAGTTTTTCTTATATTATAATGAAGGGTGCAGTGAACATCTTTGAACATATTTTGAAAAGCAATTTTGATTTTTTTTTTTTTTAGAAAAAAAAATCTACTTCCATGCTTCTGGAAGTAGAATTAATGGGTCAAAGGGTTCGAACATTTTACTTATTTTTTCTTTTTTATTTATAATATAGATGAGGTCTCACTATGTTGTCCAGGCTGGTCTCAAACTCCTGAGCTGCAGTGATCCTCCTGCTTCAGCCTCCCAAAATGCTAGGATTACAGGTGTGAGCCACTACACCTGGCCTAAACCTTTTAAAGATCCTTGAAACAAATTGGAGACCAGCCTGGCCAACGTGGAGAAACCTGTCTATCAAAAAAATACAAAAATTAGCCAGGCGTGGTGGTGCGTGCCTGTAATCCTAGCTACTCAGGAGGCTGAGTGCTTTATATGACTGACCTCTTTAAATCTCTCCAAGCCTCAAGGAAATAAGGAGTCCTGTCATGCACACATTTTACAGATGAGGGAAACTGGGTTTGAATGGGCTCAGTCTCCTGCTTCAGGTCACACAGCACTGAGCAAGGACACACCCCCGGCTTAGGCTCTTAACCACTTCCACTTATAGCCCCCTTTTACTTGTTTCTTCTCGTCTATTTCCTCTTTGTTTTCCCCTTTCTCTCCTGCCTAGGCTTCAGGCCTGCTGCTGTAGCCCCACAGAAATTGCTCTGCCCCCGTGGACAGTGCTCAGAGCAAAAAGGTTGCTGCTTGCTCTCCTAGAGCACAGTGGGGATGACGGGGGGTAAACAGGCAGGTGCTCCTGGGAAGATTGGAGGTGCTTAGTGAGGCGAGTGCCTTCAGATCTCTGAAGTCCCTGTCTTATTTTTCCATTGAGTTATAGGGCAGGATGAGACTGTGGTCCAGAAATTTGTTTAAGCCATCATCTTGAGGCAGGACCATCTAAACCATTCCTGAGAGAGGAACATCTCGGGTTTTTGGTTTTTTGTTTTTTTTTGAGACAGAGTTTCACTCTTATCACCCAGGCTGGAGTACAATGGCGCAACCTCAGCTCACTGCAACCTCCGCCTCCGGGTTCAAGTGATTCTCCTGCCTCAGCCTCAGGAGTAGCTGGGATTACAGGTGCCTACCACCACACCTGGCTAATGTTTGTATTTTTACATGGTTTCCTCATGACACATGGTTTCCCCATGTTGGCCAGGCTGGTCTTAAAATCCTGACCTCAAGCTGGTCTTGAACTCCTGAACCCCTGCCCGCCTCCACCTCCCAAAGCGCTGGGATTACGGCAGGAGTCACCATTCCCGGCCTTAGTTATCTTTAATGTCATCCAGGGCTTGAGTTACCAAGATAAGCAAAGAGCTCTTGGCCAGAGATCACTCCATAGAGGTGATGGAGACAGTAGGGGTGTGCCTGAGCCACCTGCCATCTGAGGCATGTCAGAAGCTCTTGGCCATCTCCATGAGGGTAGTTGTTGTTGGTTTCTGTTTCAGCCCCATCTGTGGGGAGTGTCTCCCCCTCAGCAGTGGCTCTGGCTGTGATCCTGCCTGTCCTGGTACTTCTCATCATGGTGTGCCTTTGCCTTATCTGGAAGCAAAGAAGAGCAAAAGGTAATTATGTGTAAGAGAGCCCAGGCTGAGGGGAAGTGGACTATGACTGCTCTGGGAAAGGGCCAGGCAGAAGTAGAGGCAGACATGACGCTTGTCCTTAGGTTGGGGACCCTGCACATTGGCCGGGAGAAAACCAGTAGAGCTGTGACCTGGGGACACACATTGCAAAGGGAACTCAATAAACTGCAGAGAGGCCCCTGGGCAGAGCTGTAAATTCTCATCCTTTGAAAAATTAGAAAAGAACCAACTATGCCAGCCTTCTAATTAACTAATAAATCAATTACAGCCTTTTAATAAAGAAATTTAGTTATATCTATCGGATAAGACTCTCATAAAAATGGTCACATTTCACAGGATCTCAGGACTGCAAAGGACTTTGAAAGTCACAGTCACATAATTCAACATTCCTCCCCTTATCTGACGGTTTGAAGACTCTCTAATCCTTTCAAATGCCCACTTACCTATAGTAACACGGAGTCAGTCCTACTCAGGCAGCTTGGGCCATCTTGGGACAATTGTGCCTGTTAGAGAAAAAGCCCTTCCTAAGCTAAGCTGACATTTTTCTCTCTCTTTTAGAGAAGCTTCTCTATGAGCATGTGACGGAGGTGGGTAAGTGTTCTTGGCTGGGGGGTAGGGGACATGTTTCTTTTTTTGTTGTTAATTTCTGTGCCCCCTTACCTACTAACCTGGATTCTGTTCCTGAAAATTCCATTATCTGCCATCCTTGGTGGTGGTGGCAATGTCTAAATCCATTGCATCCAGTTTTTACTGCCTCTTATAGCTTGCCTTCCTGTTTGTGTAATTATTTTTGCCTGTGAGCTCATTTGCTTGATCTTATTCCATGGCAGTTGAGTAGGTTGAACATGGGGGAAGCTTTTATTCATTCAACAAATAGTTGATAATTATCTACTAAATGCTCTGGACAATACTAGATTCTGGGGAGTAAAAGCAGACACAGTCTTTGCCCTCCTGGAACTTTCAGTGTAGTCAGGGAGATGAGATGAATTACATAGTTACACAAATAAATGTGTACAAATGCTACACAGGAAAGCTCCCGGTTCTGTGAAGGCTATGACCAGGATGAACCACCCAAGCTTGAGGGTTGAGGGCGTGAAGTTTGTCCTGAAGGACTAGAAGTCACGAGTGAAGAGGGAATGGAAAACCATCCACTGCAGAAAGAACGAGAAGCATGGTCAGGGAGAGTGGCACTCACTGGGTTGCTCAAGAGGTGCAGGAGCTAGGGGGATAGTGGCAGGGGTAAGGCTGGGGAGTTAGGAGGGACTGGGCCTCCTGAGGCCTGGTGGGTCACATTCAGGATTTTAGTTATTCTTGTAAGATATGTGGCAAAACAAGGAATGGGAATATCCGATGGAACTGTGCTTTGAAAAACTTGGCAGGCGCAGTGGCTCACCTGTAATCCCAGCACTTTGGGAGGCCGAAGCAGGTGGATCACCTGAGGTCGGGAGTTCAAGACCAGCCTGACTAACATGGTGAAACCACATCTCTGCTAAAAATACAAAAATTAGCAAAGCGTGATGGTGCATACCTGTAATCCTAGGTACTCAGGAGACTGAGACAGGAGAATCATTTGAACCCCGGAGGCAGAGGTTGCAGTGAGGCGAGATTGAGCCACTGCATTCCAGCCGGGGTGGCAGAACAAGGCTCTGTTTCAAAAAAGAAAAAAGAAAGAAAGAAAAAAAAGAAACCAAGACTAAACAATTCTCTCTGGCTGCAGTGTTTATTAGAAACCAGAGGGAGTAAGACAGGATGTGGGAGACAATTTGGGCTGCCATTTCTATTGTCCAGATGCAAGTTGATTAGGGACCAACTCAGGCAGGTGGAGGTGAAGATAGAGGTGGACAGGTCCAAGGGCAGGTAAAATCAATATCAGGGGCCCTCAAGGCAGTGGCAAAAAAAAATCTCATTATCTTTTCCTTTCTTCCTCCAGACAATCTTCTTTCAGACCATGCGAAAGAAAAAGGTAATGAATGATATATAAAAAGGAGTAGAGAATAAAAAACACATTCTTCATTTTTCTATGTAAATGTGGACAGTCATTATTATGTCCGTTATTATAATACTATACACACACATGCACATATATATCCTCCATTGATATTACTGGAATTTAGTTTGCAATGTCAAGGGGATATGGAGCTGGTGGCAGTGGGTGAGGAGGTGTTCAGGTCATAATTCTAGGCCTAGATTACCATAAACTCCTTTCATTAGCCTTTCCACCAATCATTTAAAAAGGAAGTCTACATAGTATTGAAAAGTATATTAACGTGGTCATATGGGATGCATAGGAATTTCAAGAATTCATACAACCTTTGCATAGAGAGAGGTGGTGTGATACAAAGGAAGGGTCGCAGGCTCTGGAGTCAGCGACACCGGAATCAGATCATTGGTCTGCCACTTACTGGCCTTGAATAAGTCACTTTTCTGCTCTGGGCTTTGGTTTCCTCATCAGCAAAATTCGGGTAAGTTCCCCCTTACCTGATTGTTTTCAGTGTTAAAACAGGCAACCTTAAAAAAGCATCTGTCACAGCGCCTGGAACTCCTTTTCCTTATTGCCATTTTGTCTTCATTAATTGAATATTTTTGAATTAATTATTCAATTAATTGAACATTAATTGAAAGATACCTTGTTGAAGTCTATCTGGAAAGACACATCACTGGCTCAGATGACTCCAGAGTCAATGATTTCAGCATCTACTCTCCTCCCTCCTTACCTCTCCTCCAAGTGGTACAAGTGTGAGGTGTAACTGGCAGACACTGGCTGTTCTGCTCAAGGCAGGAGGGAACAGTGTGGGGTAAGGGCGAGGGCCTCTGACTCAGGAGTCAGACAGGCTTGGATTGAATCCTACCTCCTTGGTCACTTACTAGCTGGAAGACCTTGGGCAAATTTTGTGTCCCTGTGAACCTCAGACCAGCCCCCTATAAAATGGCAATAGCAATTCTAGGCACCTCACATTGTTGAGGGGATTCAGTGCCTACTGCAGTATCAGCACAGAAGACAGTAAGTGGAAGCTGTTAGTAGTGGAGATGGTAACAATAAACCATAAACGTCTTAGGAGCTGAGTTGTATTCAGCCGCACTGCTCCAATGCCTAATGCCTAACACATGCCCGGCCCTTGGCACACACAGGGCCTGGTGGTGGACTCAGACTTGGAACTTCAATTGTTCATCAGGGCCAATGCTGGGTAGGAGGAAATGTGGGCCACATGGCCCTCCAGAGAAGCCACAAGTTCTCCCTGGCAACCTGTGTCTTATACACATATTTCCCCAAATCTTCTGGGACCCCCAATTCATAAAATTTGTAACCTCAGGGGAGTTACTATAGAAAATAATAAAATTACATTAACAAGTTTTATGCCTTAGATATCATCAGCAATGGGCCATAAAAGGACAGCAATGCATATACCGCAGTTTTAAACAACATAGAAACACCCATGCAGACAGCAGAAATGAAACCAGACAGACGAAAAGGAGGGGAAGGGGAAGAAGGAACCATAGTCCTGGGCAGGCTGGGTCACTGAGAGAGTGGCACCAGCACCATCAGATTTCTGGGTCTGAACTCTGAGACATGGAGCTGGACATGGGGGGTGGAGTGATGAGGCTTCCACAGCTGCAAGAAAAAAGAGGCAGGATCTGATCACTCACTCCTCTCTCTCTTTCTGGTTTTTAGGAAAACTCCATAAAGCTCTCAGTAAGTTCTGCTCCTCATCCATGGCACACTCCTTCTGCTGACACCTTTGCTTTAGAATGAACATCTCAGTTTCACTTCCTGGGGCAGAAGGGAGGGGGCAAGGGTAATTCAAGCCATGGGGACTGGGGCTTTCTTGGCCTTCAGAGTCCTCTTTTCTCAAGTATTCTCTGCCCCTCTTTTCTGCAAAACTGTTATTTAGTCTTTAAATGGGAAATGTTTCGCCAAGAAGAATAGATGTATCTCCCATAGGTGAAGCAATCTGGAAGTCCCTTTTATCACCCAGGCATGACATTTCCTTAGATGGGGTCCAAGAGGAAGGGATCCTCATTACACTGAATATACTGGAGCAGTACTTCTCCATCATTTCATGTGTGAGGACCTCTTTTTAGCATTCAAAAAAAATCTGGCTGGGTGCCGTGGCTCACATCTGTAATCCCAGCATTTTGGGAGGCTGAGGTGGGTCTATCACTTGAAGTCAGGAATTTGACACCAGCCTGACTCTGACCAATATGGTGAAACATCATAAAAATACAAAGTTAGCCGAATGTGGTGGTCCACACCTGTCATCCCAGCTACTTGGGAGGCTGAGGCAGGAGAATTGCTTGAACCTGGGAGGTGGAGGTTGCAGTGAGCTGAGATTGCACCATTGCACTCCAGCCTGGGCAACAAGAGCGAAACTCCATCTCAAAATAAAAATAAAAATAAATCTACAGACAGGTGACATATCTATGCATTATTATTACACTGAGAAAATGTCATGATCACAAAGTCCAATACTCAGTGATAGTTTTAAATGAAGTAATATTTTATTCTTCTCCCACAACATCTACAGAATTTATGTTGTCGTTACCTGTAGGTGTGAGATGTGTTATTATTTAGCTTGCAGATAAGGTTTAGCTCACATAGAAATTTGCTGATCCTCTGCAGTATCTTCTGGGGATACTCCCATGGTCCACAGCTGAGATCAATTGCTCTTGCAAACTCTTCTGGGGAAGCTCCAGGGTATGGCTATTGAGTATCTATCTGCTCGTGGTTGGGATGGGACTGTAGCATTATGGGAGGAGGCCTCTACGTAGAGACCCTCCTTCTGATTTGCCAAATTGTTTTCATTCTTTAGAGAAACTCCGGAGTGAACTGAGTAAGTTTCCCATGTTCTTATAACTTCTGTACCAACTTATCTCCTGTTGCCCTAATGTTTCCAGTGATGGTTCATCCCACTTGTTTCTTTTTTCATAGAGCTGAAAAGAGCTGCAGCAAACTCAGGTGAGATGCACTTTCTCCACGTTTGACCACCACCCTAGGGAGTTCTCAATGCATTTTTTTTTTTTTTTTTTGAAACGGAGTTTCGCTGTTGTTGCCCAGCCTGGAGTGCAATGGCCTGATCTCGGCTCACTGCAACCTCCACCTCCTGGGTTCAAGCAATTCACCTGCCTCAGCCTCCCAAGCAGCTGGGATTACAGGCATGTGCCACCATATCCAGCTAATTTTGTATTTTTACTAGAGATGGGGTTTCTCCATGTTGGTCAGGCTGGTTTTGAACTCCCGACCTCAAGTGATCCCCCCACCTCAACCTCCCAAAGTGCTGGGATTATAGGCATGAGCCACTGCGCCTGGTCGACTCTAGTGCTTTAGTGATCCCTCTTTCTTGTTTTTCAGGCTGGAGAAGAGCCCGGCTGCATTTTGGTAAGTTATACCAATCAAACAGATCTCCATTTCAGAGCACATCCTCCTTATGGCTTTGTAACCTGAGGTTTTGTTCCATTCCTCTGGAATGTATGTGATTAAAAAAAATTTAAATCAAATCTGTATATCTGCTTATCAAACTGAAGAAAATCTTTGTGGTCTATCTTGAGGTCATATTAAGGTTTAGAAAGTATCCCCTCTTTTAGAGCACTGATAAATATTGTTTGGTCTTCTGAAGTGTTTTCTGTAATTTTTGAGATTTTTCTTAAGTTTATCGGTTATTTGTATTTCTTTTTTGTGTGATTTGTCTGTTCCTGTTCTATTTGGGCTATTTTTTGATTTGTGAGGACTCTTTCTAGATAAGATATATTAGCTCTTTGTCATATTTGTCACCAATTAGTTTTCATTTGCATGTCCTTGTAGTATTTTTCTGATGCACAAGTGTTTTATTTTTATGTAGTCAACTTCATTCATCTTTTCCTGTGTAGTCTCTTCCATGCTTTTAGGTTTGGGAAATCCTTCCTATCCCACAACCAGATGAATAGCCACTGCTTCCGCCTCTTTCTACACATATGCTGTTTTCTTCTTTCTCTGCAGACCGATTTGCTTAGGGGTGGTGACTGAGATTCTCAGAGAAGAAGGGAATGCGTTGAGCAGATGCCCCAATGATATATACTATGAAAAGTTTTCATAGTTTTATTCTAAAAGATTTGTACCTCTCTTTCAGTTTATTTCTAAATAGTTTGCATTTTTTTGCTGCTGTTCAAATGGGATCTGTTTTTTTCACTGCTTTGGGATCCTTATCGATTTTCTAGGCTTTTATCCTCCTCCTGTTCACACCATCTTCCTTCAGGCAGAGTAAAACAAATTGACGAACTGGCCACTCGAGAGAACTCCAGGTCACCTTGGCTGGCGTTCTGGGAACTCACAAACCCTTCCATCTCACATTCAGTCTGGCTTACTGCCACCACCTCAACTGAGTATGGTTTATGCACTAGCTCTCCAAGAAGATCCTGTTTCTTGTATTTGGGGGAGGAAGGAGACTCACTGTGACACTCAAAATCCACAATTTTAAGAAAGAATCCTTCTCTCTATATTAACATTTAAAAATAATAATTTAGTCCCAGCTACTTGGGACACTGCAGTGGAAGGTTCACCTGAGGCCAGGAAGCCAAGGCTGTCATGTGTTATGATTGCATGCCAATGAATACGTACTGTACTCCATTCTGGGCAGCATAGTGAGACCCTGTCTCAAATAAAATAAAGCAAATAGATAATTATAAGTAGTAATTTTAGGTGACTAAATGAACATCGTGCACTCACTGTAGGAATGATACACTATCTCATTAGTTCACCAAGTCTGCACAATAGCTCTACAACACAGGCTCTGTTACTATTTCAATTTTACAGGTGAGGAAACTAAGGTTCAGAGATAAATAACAAGTCCAAGGTCGCATAACTAGCATGCGGCAGAGCTGGGATTCAAACAGGCTATGTAGCTGCAGGATCTCACATCAAACCCTATATTTATCATCACACATTTGATTCTTTTGGAACATCAAGGACAAAAGTAGTGTCTTAGTCTGTTTTCTGTTGCTATAACAGAATACCCAAGACTGGGTAATTTATCAAGGAAAGAAGTTTATTTAGCTCATGGGGGCTGGATGGTCTAAGATGGGGCAACTGTATCTGGTGAAGGCCTTGTGCTGCTTCATAGCATGGCCATAGTTGCTTCTGGAAAAACAAAAGGGCAAGTGAGTGCCTGTGAAAGCAGAGAGGAGACAAAGTGCCCTGACCTGCCTTATCACAACCCACTCTTCAGAGAACTCGCCCAGTCTGGTGAAAACTGCATGAATCCCTTTGTGAGGGTAGAGCTCCCATGACCCAAACACCTCCCACTAGGCCCTAACTCTGAACACTGCAGCAATGAGTGATTAAGGTTCCAACACATGAACTTTTGAAGGACACACTTAAATCATAGGAGGTAATTACTTCCAAAGGATTAAGGCAGCTTCACAGACAGATGAAGAAGAACTTTTTCCTCTTTTACTTAATACTCAACCAGGAGACCTAGTCTTTGAAAGACAATATTCTTTGGTTCCAGTACACATGGTGGGGGTGGGAATCCATGAACTAAAATGGGCTAACGACAGTGATTGCAGACCCAAAGATTCTTTTTCTCTGCAAAGCTATCCCCAAATCTCTTAAGACCTAGCCTTCCAAACCTCACCTGTCTGTGACTCTTTGCAGTGGCAGTGACCCTGGACCCAGACACAGCACATCCCAAACTCATCCTTTCTGAGGACCAAAGATGTGTGAGGCTTGGAGACAGAAGGCAGTCTGTACCTGACAACCCCCAGAGGTTTGATTTCGTCGTCAGCATCCTGGGCTCTGAGTACTTCACGTCTGGCTGCCACTACTGGGAGGTGTATGTGGGAGACAAGACCAAATGGATTCTGGGGGTGTGTAGTGAGTCAGTGAGCAGGAAGGGGAAGGTTACTGCCTCACCTGCCAACGGACACTGGCTTCTGCGACAGAGTCGTGAGAATGAGTATGAAGCTCTCACATCCCCGCAGACCTCCTTCCGCCTTAAAGAGCCTCCACGGTGCGTGGGGATTTTTTTGGACTATGATGCAGGAGTCATCTCTTTCTACAATGTGACCGACAAGTCTCACATCTTTACTTTCACCCACAGTTTCTCTGGCCCCCTTCGCCCTTTCTTTGAACCTTGCCTTCATGATGGAGGAAAAAACACAGCACCTCTAGTCATTTGTTCAGAACTACACAAATCAGAGGAACGAACTGTCCCCAAGCCAGAAGGGAAAGGCTATGCTAATGGAGATATGTCCCTGAAGGTGAACTCTTCCTTACTACCTCGTAAGGCTCCAGAGCTGAAGGATATTATCCTGTCCTTGCCCTCTGACCTCGGCCCAGCCCTTCAGGGGCTCAAGGTTCCTTCTTTGTAGGGGTATGTCATATTACCTACTCCCATCACCATCCAGCCCAGCACCCTGGACTTCAGGCTCCTGGCCCAACCCCATGATTCTGGAATGTCTCTTCTTCCTAACCAAATCCAGATCCTTTTGTGGTTTCTATTTGTACCACTTTTCTCCCAGGACTCAGTTCTGAAGCTTGCCTTTCTTCTAAGGAACTGAAGTTCCCAGTGACGTGGAGGGAGGATTCCTGGAAATGAAACAATCAGTTTAGGTGTAGGTGGAGATGCTGAATATGTGTTACCAAGATACAGCACAGGTTCAGGGGAAAGAGTCTTCTACTCCAGGGGTTGTTTAGAAGACATTTTCTCTGTCTCATCCTGTCATCAAGCTTTAGTCAAGAAGTTACGGCTCCCAGTGCCTGACTGCTTCCTTACCCCATCAAGGACTGCTTTTCTCTCCTTCTCTCTCTCAGTTCTGGCCTCTGGCCCCCAAAGTCAGCTTTCTATAAGTAAGCATGTTTTAGTCCACTCACTCTTTCCCTATTTCTTCAGGAATGAGTTGGGGGAAGCTGAGGAGTAAAATATACCATCCTTTTCTATTTTCTTGATGCTGTTTACAACGTAGTTTGGTGATACCCAGAGCTAATGTACATGCTTTCAAAAACTAATCTGCCTGTTGATGATAACTAGGTACAGGGACTTTAAACACAGTTGCTATAACCCTGAAGAGCCTCAGGAGCACATCAGGGAGCTGGGAAGCACAGCTGCAGAGAGCTCAGCCGTGTATTGCCCTCTGACCTTGGCCCAGCCCTTCAGAGGCTCAGTTTGTTGTGACTGTCTTATGAGTCAATCTGTTGTGCCAGCCCTTTCTAAGATTCAGAGAGGCCCAGCTAGACAAAGTGGCAGTTTTAACCACCAACTTAGAAACTCTTTTTCCCCACAAGACAATTGTACTGGAATACTTGACTATTTGTGTATCAAATAGCCTCTTAGGTTGGAGAGTATTGATTTCAAATAAGAAGTTGGTAAACTAGGTGTGAGGATGAAATAATGCCCTTGATTTTTGGGTGTGTATTGCGGAAGCCTAGTCACTTTCAAGTTACACCATATACGTGATCTGGCCTAATCGTGGAGATATTGGTTAGCAATTTGCAGATGAATACACAGTTCTGTGCAACAGAAACTGTATCTTTCTGTTTGTCAGAAGTTATCTGTTCCTTCTTGTATTAGTCAAGGTTTTCCAGATAAACAGAAAGGGTGGGGAGGACAGTGGTTATTATAAGAAATTGACTCATATGATTATGGAGGCTGTTAAACCCCAAGATCTGCAGAGTAAGTCAGCAAGCTGGAGTGCCGTGAGAGCTGATGGCTTAGTTCCAGTCTGTTGGCAGCAGGCTTGACATCAAGGAAGAGCTCATGTTTCAATTCAAGTCTGAAGGCAGGGAAAAAGCTGATGACCCTGTCCAAAGGCTATCAGGAGGGAAGAATTCTCTTAGAGCAGAGTTAGCTCTTTTGTTCTATTCAGGCCCACATTTGGGAGGACAGTCTGCGTTACTCAGTCTAATGATTTGAATGTTAATGTCATTGAGAAACACCCTCACAGGAACACCCAGAATAATGTTTGACCAAATAGCTGGGCATCTTGTGTCCCAGTCACATTGATACATAAGATTAACTGTCACAGTGACTAGTGGAATTTTTTGTTTGCTTTTGTACAGTTTTAAAATAAAAGTTTGGTATTTGTTGTTTGGTATGTTGTTATTTTCATTGTGAATGAGGAGTTGTGGGGAAGGTAAGAGATTGGTTTCCAAAGAGCTTTGAGTCCCTGAAGGCAAGGTTTAGCCACGTTCATACTAAAGCCATAGTTTTATTCCTGAGTCTGCTCTCTAGTATTTTATCAATTTATAAACTAATAGTGTTCATCAGGTATACATATTTCATTTACCCATATTCAGTTCCAAACATACATTTCTGAATATCCCAGTCTTAAAACTATCTCACATCGTCAGCTTGTGGAGGCAGAAAACATGCATAATATACACATACAAACATATATGACATACATATAATACACACACGTTTGCACATACGCACATGTATGTATGTACACATGTATGTGTATATATACACATATGCATTATATAGGTGTATATGTATATAACATGTATATATACATGCACATATACATGTTATATACCTATACACATACTTGTATATGCATATGTATATACGTGTATATATACACATACATGTATACATACATATCTATGTAGATATGTTATATATAGTGTAAGGTTATTTTATATATGTATATACATATACACATGTATATATATGTGTATATGTATATACATATATGTATGTGCATTATACATGTATATGTATATACGTTTCAGTCTACTGAGTTGAATGTTAATGTCAAGAAATAACCTCAATATATGTATGTATTATACATACATATAACAAGTATATAAAACATACATGCATAGATATGTATGTATACGTGTATGTACACACGTATACACGTACACATGCATGTGTATATATGTATATATAATATCCTTACAGTAATTCTGTCAGGGATTTTATGGGAGAGGAAGTTGGTACTCCAAATGACTAGGTGGTAGAGCCAAGAATTATTCTTGGTTTATCTAGCTCTGAAACCAATGCTCCTTGTTCTTCACACTGAAACAATGTGCAGATATGAGAAGCCTGTAGTTAGTCTACATATCCCATTAGCCTTTTATTATTTTAAAAAATAAAATCTGAAAAAAAACTGACCTAGTCATGGATACTTTGGTGATCTTGTTGCTTCTGGACTGATGAACAACTGCCAGGCTTAACTAGGGATGCATGCAGAAGCCGGGAAAATCCCTGCTCGGTGGTGCTGGGAGACCTGGAGGTCGCTCTTTGGACAGGGTACTTTTAACGTCTCCGATAAGGAGATTGGGTTATTTTATCTTTAAACTCCCTTCCAGCTCTACCCTCCTTTGATTTTAAGTTACAAACCTTAAGTGAGGTGCCAGACTCTAGGCTTCGTTGGATGTCTACAGGATGGTCAAGGGTTACCAACTCAAAGTAAAGAAGGCACTTTGGAGATACGTTCGTCAGTTTGCTCCTTTCTGCGCATGGACGGCACTGAAGAAGCATCATTAATTCTCTCTTCTCCCTGCAATCATGTCTAAGTCAGAGTCTCCTAAAGAGCCCGAACAGCTGAGGAAACACTTCATCGGAGTGTTGAGCTTCGAAACAACTGATGAGAGCCTGAGGAGCCATTTTGAGCAATGAAGAATGCTCATGGACTATGTGGGAATGAGAGAGCCAAAGACCAAGCACTCCAGGGACTTTGGGTTTGTCATGTATGCCACTGTGGAGGAGGTGGATGCAGCCATGAATGCAAGGCCACACAAAGTGGATGGAAGAGTTGTGGAACCAAAGAGAGCTGTCTCAAGAGAAGATTCTTAAAGACCAGGTGCTCACTTAACTGTGAAAAAAATATTTGTTGGTGGCATTAAAGAAGACACTGAAGAACATCACCTAAGAGATTATTTTGAACAGTATGGAAAAATTGAAGTGATTGAAATCGTGACTGACCGAGGCATTGGCAAGAAAAGGGGCTTTGCCTTTGTAGCCTTTGATGGCCATGACTCTGTGGATAAGATTGTCATTCAGAAATACCATACTGTGAATGGCCACAACTGTGAAGTTAGGAAAGCCCTGTCAAAGCAAGAGATGGCTAGTGCTTCATCTAGCCAAAGAGGTCGAAGTGGTTCTGGAAACTTTGGTGGTGGTCATGGAGGTGGTTTCGGTGGAATGACAACTTTGGTCGTGGAGGAAACTTCAGCGGTCGTGGTGGCTTTGGTGGCAGCTGTGGTGGTGGTGGATACTGTGGCAGTGGGGATGGCTATAATGGATTTGGTAATGACAGAAGCCATTTTGGAGGTGGTGGAAGCTAAAATCATTTTGGCAATTACAACAATCAGTCTTCAAATTTTGGACCCAGGAAAGGAGGAAACTTTGGAGGCAGAAGCTCTGGCCCCTGTGATGGTGGCGGCCAATACTTTGCCAAACCACAAAACCAGGGTGGCTATGGTGGTTCCAGTAGCAGCAGTAGCTATGGCAGTAGCAGAAGATTTTAATTAGGAAACAAAGCTTAGCAGGAGAGGAGAGCCAGAGAAGTGACAGGGAAGCTACAGGTTACAACAGATTTGTGAACTCAGCCAAGCACAGTGGCGGCAGGGCCTTGCTGCTACAAAGAAGACATGAGTTAGACAAATACTCATGTGTATGGGCAAAAAACTCGAGGACTGTTGTAACTAATTGTATAACAGGTTATTTTAGTTTTTGTTCAGCGGAAAGTGTAAAGCATTTCAACAAAGGGTTTTAATGTAGTTTTTTTTTTTTTTTGCATCCATGCTGTTGATTGCTAAATGTAATAGTCTGATTGTGACGCTGAATAAATATATTTTTTTAAATGTGCTGTGTAAAGTTAGTCTATTCTGAAGCCATCTTGATAAATTTCCCCGACAGTGTGAAGTTAGAATTCCTTCAGGGTGATGCCAGCTTCTATTTGGAATTTATGTACAACCTGCTTGGGTGGAGAAGCCATTGTCTTCAGGAACCTTGGTGTAGTTGAACTGGTAGTTACTGTTGTGACCTGAAGTTCACCATTAAAAGGGATTACCCAAGCAAAATCATGGAATTATTGGTTATAAAAATGATTGTTGGCACATCCTATGCAATACATCTAAATTGAATAATAGTACTAGATAAAATTAGAGATGGGAATGAAGCTCGTGTATCATCATCATGTGTAATCAATAAATGATTTAATTCTCTTAAAAAAAAAAAAAGGCACTTTGAGTATGTACCCCCCTTGGAGGTTGTGTAGGTTAGCTATATAGATTCTACAACTTCCGAGACCAGTGGCCGTGAGACTTGGGGTTGAAAGCAGGAGCACAGAAGGAAATTCCACCTTAGGACGGAACCCAGTCTCTTCAGCTCCATTCTAAACTTCCCAAGTTTTCTCCCGGGCTATGCGCTCCCTTAGGACTACGACTCCCAGCAAGCCACGCCAGAGGTCAAAGCTTATTGGCGGTTTTGCCTGGTCGTTTGCATTATGACAGTTATTATAGCCAATAAAAATAAAGTATTATCCTAAAAAGCCAATCCTAGAGAAGTAGGACGGATCTTCCTGGGTTCCGGCTCCGGCTCCGGCTCCTTCCCCCGCCTACAGAGGCGGCGCTGTCCCTGACCGAGCGGCGGGAGCGAGGTGGGTCAGGGTTGGGCCTGAGGTCTGTGGGGGGAGGTGGATACGACTTCGCGGGAAACTCTGTATAAGGCCTCTTCCCTCTCACCGAGGAGTTTGGAGGCTGCTGCCTTGCACCCTGGACCGAGTGTGATGCCAAGGGGCCTTGTGGTCCCTCCTCCTCGACCCTCGGCCCTGGCCCCCGGCCCGCGCAGCCAGGTTGCTGTCCCCACCCCATTCCCGGGCCCTTCCGTAGGCCTTGAGTATACAGCCCTCCTGCCACTAGCCATAGGTTTAGGGTCAGCCCCTCCTCCTCTCCCACCCCTCCGGCCCCAAGCCCGCCGCAATCTCTGAACCCACCTCTTGTCTCCTTGGGCCTCCGCCATTGGCTTCTCCCCGCCCAGCAACACGCAACCCAGCCTCTTGGGCCCTGGCCCTGTGACACTTCTGGCAGCTTTTGCTCCCTTTTCCCTGACCATCTTCTGCGACCCTGTGACTTCCTTGGTCCTCCTCTATCTCTGACCCGTTATCTAGCTCCACTGTGCAATGACTGATCGTCAACACCTTGCCCTTGGTCTTCCATAGCTCCTCTCTCTCCTTCCTCCTCGCAGCCCTTGACTTAGCCCCAAAGACCTGCAACTTTGGCGCGCCACACCACACTCTGGTTTGGCCCCTTCCATTTAACCTAGGCCCTTCACCTTCATCATCTGTGATCACTAGCCCCATCTTCTTGGCTCTTGCTTCTTAGACCTGGCCCCTTCTCCACTTCTCAGTCCCTTCCACCCTTGCTTCTCCCCGTGCAACAGAGCATCCAGGAAAACAAAGCCCAATAGACCCCTTTTCCCCTGAAATCTCTGCAATGTGGTTTGAAAGTGCCTCTGTACCTCAGCTACACTGTCTTCTCAGTAGGTGGTTGGCTTTCTAGCTCTGCAAGTCCCAGTCTTACCCATCCTGCATGTCTTAGGTCAAATACTTACTCTTCCATGAAACTGGTCAGCCCTTATCTCGTCAGGGAGATATGCCTGTGTCATGTGAACTTCAGTGGCACTGTTTTTATTTATTTTCTTCTTTCCCCTCTTCTCCCCTTTTTTCCTTCAGTACTAGTATCGTGGTTAAAAGCACTGGCTTTGAAGTGATGGACATAGGCCCCAGTTCTACCACTTATATTTGCTCTGTGCCCTTGGGCAAGGTACTTAATTTCTCTGAGCCTCAGATTTCTCATCTCTAAAATAAGGATGATGTGAAGTGAAATTACATGATTCATATATGGTGCTTAGTCCACAGCTTAGCACTTGATATGAGCTTAAAAAAACATTAACTATCATTGGTTTCTGTATAATGTGCTAGGTGCTGTGTTAGACATTGAGGAGTGGGCACAAAGGTGGCTAAGGCACAGTTCCTGCCCCTGTCCCCTGAACTTAACCTTCTGCATCATGTGACAATTTCTGGAATTGATGATCTGTTTCACTACATTGTATCACAAACTGTGACTGGTAATCATAATCCTAAATCTTTTTGCTCTTACGTTGACCTAGCATCCATCCCTGGATAGAGCTGGAGCTTGATTTATTATAGGTTCTCAGAATAGCAGTTTTGGAAGTGAGTGGAGGCCAAATAGCTCATTGCATAGAGATACTGTAGCGGTAGGTTAGATGGGAGCAGGGCTGGGGTGCAGGATGGGATGGTGGTGTGAATTAAGATCACGTCCTGTCACTTATACATTTAAAAGACATTTGAAGCTTTGTACTGCAGAAGGAGCACAAAATATGTGCTGATAATATGACCCAGTCCCTTTCTTCAAGTTGCTGATAAACTGTTAGTAGTAACAGACACGTAAATAGGTAATTGCAAACCACTATAAGGCAAGCACAAGATTCTGTGAGTGCATAAAGGAGAAAGTAGGCAGAAATCAAAAGATTGCTGAGGAAAAGTGGGTGAGAATAGACACAAGTAAGCGTGAACTGGGTTCTGAAGACAGAGCTGGTCTTTTATTCAGCTCATTCAACAAATACTTATTAAGGATCTGTGTATGGCTGCCACTACTCTAGGAGTTTTGGTTACATTAGTGAATCAAAAAGAAAAAAAAAAAAAGAAAACAGAGATACCAGTTCTCATGGAACTTGTGTTTTAGGGAAGCAGACAATAAATAATAGACATAAATAGAATGTCAGAAGGTAAGATGTGCTATGGGGCAGTGGGACTGGGAGTGTAGGAGTCATTTTAATTTTGGAAGGATGGTCAGGAAACAGTGAGTTTAAGTATCAAGGAATAGTTTCTGATGTTTACTTGCATTTTTGGAAGTAAAACAAGCCAATTATTTTTCATATTGCTTATCTGAATTCTTCAAGGAACAGTAACAGGGACTGGTAAACTACAGCTCATCTCCTGTTGTTTTAAATAAAGTTTTATTGGAACACAGCCACACTTACTCCTTTTTGTCTTGTTTACAGCTGCTTTCAGGATTTATGATACAGTGGCAGAGTTGAATAGTTACAGCAGATATCCCACGGCCATAAATATTTACTATATAGTATCTGGCCCTTTACAGAAAAAGCTTGTCAACCTCTGGTTCTGTTGAGGTTCTGTCTGTATTTCACATTTTAGAAGATTATATAGTTTTATGCTATTTTTAAATTAAAAGTTTTTTCTTAAGATCATTTAAAAGATCTTGTATTCTTCATAGGGTTAGGATGTAGAGTCTTTAACAGTTGTAACAGCAGCTGTCATTTGCTGAATGACAGCTTGTGTCACACACTCTGCTTAGTATTGTTGGCATTTCTTTTAATACAAAGTCTTGTAATGTGGGTAGGTATCACAGTTTTATGATTTATCACAAGTGATGAGGGAGTTTAGACTCAGAGTGATTGAATAATTTGCAGAGAATGATAAAGATAGTATGTGTCACATCCAACCCTAAATGTAGTCAGTATTCCTTCCTTTATTCAGTGTTTCTTTTTCCAGAAATACCTGCAGATTTGAAGGAATTATCAGTCTTTCATTTTCTATCATCAGTGTCCTGTGATAGTTTGTGCTTCCCTCCTGCACTCCCCTCATCCCTTTGTTCATGTCTCTCTGTTTACCAGCCCACTCTGGTGAAATGTTGTTATTTCTTCAGGGCCTGGAGGAAATACTACCACTCTTATCAGAGGTATTTTTCCCCAGCTCTTTCCCTGTCGTTGGCTGTAGGAACCCAAAGGAGTCTGTGCAGCTTAGCAAACGTTTACTGATGTTTGCACAAAGCGGGACTTGTTCTGGGCACTCTTATGTGTTTAGTTTTGGGATGGGGTGTAGGGAGTGTGGTTTGTGTATCTGTGCCTGTGTTTATCTTTGTGTATACTTAGTATGTGAGTGTATGGTTGTGTATGGTATGAGAGTATGGATATAAGTGTGTAGACGTGTATGTGGCTATAAATATGTGTGTGGCTGTGTGTATGTGGCTATATGGTGTGAGTGTCTATGTAGTGTGTATGTGTGTGGTGTGATAATGTATGGCTGTGTGTGGTGTGTAGGTGTGTGGCTGTTGTGTGTGTGGTATGAGAATGTGACTGAGTGTGGTATGTGAGTATGACTGTGTATCCCGTGAGAATGTGGCTTTGTGTATTGTGTGAGTGTGTATGTGTGATTCTGCTTGCTTGTGTGTGTGTGTGTGTGTGCATGTGTGCATGCAGTGGGGGGCTTTGTGTGGTGTTTAAGAATGTGGTGGAGGGCACTAACTGATCATAAGAAATGCAACCCAGGCCCCGCTATAGGTCCTGGAGGTCTCAGATGTTAACCCAGATGTTTATTTGCTAGATTCTGGTGTGGTCTGGAGAGGGATGGGGTGGCAGAAGTTTCAAGAAAAGCCAAAGCTGGGCCTTGTCACCTAGGAGAGCCTCAAGATTTAGAGGTTTTGTTTTGTTCACTTTGAAAGCAGGCAAATAGATGGATACTTCTAAGAAAGGTTTTTCAGTTGAACATATAAAGAATATAATTGAACATAGAAAGAGTTACAGTTAACTTGCAGTTAGGCAGAAAAATTGAACTTACCCCAAAATGCAAGCTCCTTTACTTGCCCCTGAATTATAGTCTGGATTGTCATTGCTTAGTGGTATCGAGAAGAGTGACATTATTCAAATGGCACAAATATCGTCTGGCGGTGGTGGACAAAGATGGTGCCTTGTTTTTTCACTGCTGGGTAGCTTTAAATATCTATGAAAGTTTGTCACTTAAAAGGTAGCAAGTGAGTGAGCTGAGATCATGCCACTGCACTCCAGCCTGGTGACAGAAGGAGACTCTGTCAAAAAAAAAAAAAAAAAAAAAAGGTAGCAAGTAAAGGTGTTCTGTTCACGTATTCCAGTTGATTGAAGTTATTTCTAATGGATGGTCCCAGGGGAAGGTGTATACCCCTTCAAACAGAACAAATGATTTCTTGTGGTCTGGCCTAACCCAAGGAATAAAGGTGTTGGCCATTTGTGTTCATTCTCAGGGTTCAGAGATGGGCAGTGAGAAGGAGCAGAGTCCAGAGCCACACCTGCCTGAGGAAGGGGAAGGGGGTAAGTTTTGGAGAGTGGATGACTCAGAGGGTTCTTGGATCCCACCTGGGGAGAAGGTGCATGGACAAGAGAGCCTATTGGATGAACTGCAAGAAACTCATCCAAAAAAGCCATGGCAGAAAGTCACTGTCCTGGCTCGAGAGCCAGGGGACACCCTTGTTCATCCAAGGCATGAGGCAGATGAGAAGCCCTTTATATGTGCCCAGTGTGGCAAAACCTTCAATAATACCTCCAACCTGAGAACACACCAACGGATCCACACCGGTGAGAAGCCTTACAAGTGTTCTGAATGTGGCAAGAGCTTCTCAAGAAGCTCGAACCGCATCCGTCACGAGCGGATCCACCTGGAAGAGAAACACTACAAATGCCCCAAGTGTCAGGAGAGCTTTCGGCGGCGCTCAGACCTCACCACGCACCAGCAAGATCACCTAGGCAAACGGCCATACCGCTGTGACATCTGTGGCAAGAGCTTCAGCCAGAGTGCCACGCTAGCTGTGCATCACCGGACCCACCTGGAGCCGGCGCCCTACATCTGTTGTGAGTGTGGGAAGAGCTTCAGCAACAGCTCCAGCTTTGGTGTGCATCACCGCACCCACACAGGTGAGAGACCTTATGAGTGCGCTGAGTGTGGGCGGACCTTCAGCGATATCTCCAACTTTGGAGCACACCAGAGGACCCACAGAGGGGAGAAGCCCTACCGGTGCACTGTGTGTGGGAAACACTTCTCCCGGAGCTCGAATCTCATCCGTCACCAGAAAACTCACTTGGGTGAGCAGGCTGGGAAAGATTCCAGCTGAAGGAAAGCCCCATTTAGAGTGAGGGAGAGAGAGCAAGAGACCCCAACCTAGTGAAGGAAGATCTTTAGCATTTACTGCTGCTACCTTGACCTCAAGCCCTTCATCCCACTTTGGAGAATGGTTTTATATTGCTTCTGAAACCAGGATCTCAGGAAATCCTGAGAAGGGACTCTGGAGTAAAAACCCTTGCCTCTTTCTAAGTGGATGAGGCAGTTTCTCTTATTGGAAAGTCAGAGGACCCAATCTTGGCCTCACTTCCTTGGGGTGAAAGAGAAATAGGGCAGGCTCAGAACATGCTCAAGTCATTAAGGCAGCAGTCCCCTGGCCTTTGAGGAAGTACCTATGAGATGGGTGTCACTGTCTGAAAGTTCTCTATATTGTCGGTGAACTGCTTAGGTATGAGTGCACTGCAGTGTCCTGCTAGTTCCCACCTGCTGTGCCCCAACTTTGCTTCTAGATCTCTGGGCTGGGAGGTGTGGCCTTCTTGATGGAAGGGGCCTCCTTGGTCTGGAGAAAAGATCTGAGATCCTGCCTTAGAAATAAAAGGGAAACCCTCAGGGAGCCGTGACCCAGGGACCTTCACAATCTCCCATGTTTGTTACATGTTATCCCTCCCCTAACCTGCCTCTGTTTTCCCTAGAGTGATTAGCAGTAAAACCCTTCAATGAAAAGGACCCGTGTACTTATTTGGGGAAGTGGGGAGCTGGGGAGATTGTCCCACTGAACCTACTCTGGATGGGAGTTGAATTCTAAGAAAGACAAATGGGTAGCTGCTCTGAAAAGCAAAGGAAAGCAGACTGAGTTTCTGGGGCCTTTGCGGGGAAGGGGGAATGGAAAAGAACTAACATTAATTGAGCATCCACTACATGTGATTGATTCTATCAGTCACATTTACATTTTTAATCTCATATAGTTGTCACAGCAACCCCCAAGAGAATAAGAGGAAATAGAAGTGAGGAAAGATGGAAGTCACTTGCTAGGAAGTTGTATAGCAAGTATGTTATGGAGCCAGAGTTCAAACTTGGGCCTCCCTGACTGCCAGCTGATGCTCTTTTCACTACATTTACCTTTTAGCTTCTGAAGAAGGAGTCAATTAAGAGGTTTGCCTGGAGGTAGGATCCAATGTGGCTTCCTAATATGACCTTGGACCATTTGTTCTATGGCAAGTCAGTACTAAGCTTGAGAACCTTTTCATCATTATTTTATTTTGAGGTCAACTTTATTTTATTTTGAGACAGGGTTTTGCTCTGTCACCAAGGCTGGAGTGCAGTGGTGCGCCCACAGCTCACTGCAGCCTTGATCTCCTGGGCCCACTTCAGTCTCCTGAGTAGCTGGGACTGCATGTGCACATAACCACACCTGGCCTTCAGTGCTACTGATTGAGCACTTACTCTGTGCCTAGGAAAAATGGCAGCGGCAGGGAGTAGGGGGTGAAGGGTGGGATAAGGTGAGAGAAATCTTAAAATCCATAATGAGAGTCTTTGCCTTTAGTAGCAATAGTTTAGTCCCCAAGGCTGGAACAGCTTGACAGGGATTATGTCTGGTTTCCTGTTAGGCCTGGCTCCACATGGCAGATTTCAGTGTTTCTACATGGAAGTTTAGTGTTCACCCAGCTTCCCTCTAACAAATACAAAAGAACCCTTCCTCTAACAAATACAGAAGACCCCTATCTATCTTTCTTGTGAATCTGGGGCCCTACTCTTCCAGAATGAGGGGCACTCTTCATTTGTAGCCAGTTGGCAGAGTATGATTCTGGCACTGGACTTGGAACTGACATCACCTATGACCTTACCTAACATGAGGACCCTGCCACTCAATAGGAAGAGAGGTGCTAGGAACTTTATGCTTATTATTGAATTCTCACAGCAACTAAGAATGACCTGCTTTTGTCATATGTAGAAACAGACTGACAGGGAAAGTGACTTACCCAAGGTTACAGAGCAAGTACATGTAGGGTGTAGGACCTGAACTACTACTCAAATTCAAGTCCTGTAGTTAGGGAACTATAACTATAATTACAGGGAACTATAAAAGACTTCCCAAATGATTCCTTTACATTTATAAGGTACTTTACTGTTTACCAAGCACTTTTATTTCATACACAATTTCCGATTCCTTGAAAATCTCCACGCACTATATTTTAAACATAGTCACCCAAATGTGTGTGGCACACACCCTAATAATAAAGATCACCATCTTTTAAATACCTACTAAGTGCCAGTTATTGTACCCCTCTTATCTCTGATCATACTATCCTGTAAGGTAGTAATGTCCCCATTTTCAAGGCAAGAAAATTCTGTAAGTTTAAGTGACCGGACCTGTTGGCATAGTTGCAACTTAATTCAGGTATGTCTGATCTCAAGGCCAAGCTTTTCATTTATACCCACTGCCAAGCTAGGTCAACAGATCCCCTCTCAGTCTGGGAAGTTGGTATGACTCCTTCCTGACTTGGAGCCTTTGTGACAACTGCTGTGACTTTTATGAGTGTCTGCTGCCAGTTCAGCCTACGACCAATGTACCAGGCCCCTGCTTTGATCTTGAAACATAACTCCTCAGCCAATCTCACTTGCTTTTTTTTTTTCCTGAGATGGAGTCTCGCTCTTTTGCCTAGGCTGGAATGCAATCTCGGCTCACTGCAACCTCTGCCTCCTGGGTTCAAGCAATTCTCCTGCCTCAGCCTCCCGAGTAGCTGGGATTACAGGCATGTGCCGCAACACTGGATGAATTTTTGTATTTTTAGTAGAGATGGGGCTTTGCCATGTTGGTCAGGCTGGTCTTGAACTCCTGACCTCAGGTGATCCACCCGCCTCGGCCTCCCAAAGTGCTAGGATTACAGGCTTGAGCCACTGCACCTGGCTTACTTGCCCTTTTTTGACCCTAGGTTATATGCTAAGAATTTTGTGTTAGTCTTGACTAGTCCATTTATCCACTCGCTGGCTTCCTTTTAACTTTCTTTATTTTCTCCTTTATTCCCCTTATTTTTTTCCCTTTCTCCATGACTCCATGCACCCCTTCTTCTCTTCCTCTCCCTCTTTTCCTCCTTCCCCACTTTCCTTCTCTCTTTACCTCGTAACTTGTAATACTGACAATGAAGACAATATGACCCCTGTTTTTTAGTGCAGGAGAATGCCACATAAATCCAGAGTTGCAATGCAGGATGATAAGTATCATTACAGTTGTACCCAGGATGCTGTAGAAGCCCAGGGGAGTGCCTTAACCTGGCCTGTACTGGACAGTGGGGCCCAGAAGCAAGTAAGACATAGTCCTTCCTGCAAGGAACACAGAGGAAGTGAAACCACTGAACAAGGTGCTAGGGAAACACAGGTGGGAATGGTTAACTTCACAGGGGAGGGAAGTCTGAAAGGGTGATTGAATAGGTGTTTATAGCAGAGAAAAGAGAGCAAAGGAGAAGGTTATTTCAGATGGAAGGGAAGGCATAGTGTTTCAGGAAATAATGAAATATTTGCATGTTTGATAGTGTGCCCTGTGTGAGGAGGAGAGGAGGCTGGTAAGGTAGACAGGGGCCAGAACATGAAGGGTGTTGGATGCCAGGATGAGAAATTGTGGACTGTGAACAGTAGGAAATTTTAAAGCTGGGGAATGACATGATAACCTTCACCCTTTAGGAAAAGGACTTGGGCTAGTGTGGAGGATGAGCTAAAGGGGGATGAGTGATTTAGGAACATGCTCTGTGTGTAAGCCAGGTGCCAACTGGGACCCTCCTGATTCACAGAGAGTTCTATATGATTGCCTCAGATCATTGCCAATTCCACAAACTGGGAAAGTTCAAACCTTCCGCACAATTTCTGCACATTCCTGAGGTTTATGACCTCATAATATCTTGCCTGAGATTCCTGTGATCTATACATACCTTTTCTATTTTGTCCCCATTATTCCTGTCACAGAACTCAGCGCTTTTTACAAGTTCAGAATCCTTTCTAGAGATAGGGAATCTTAGTGAGGAGTTGCATTAAGGCATATCAGTAGCTTCCTATCCTCTCATCTCTGCCCGCTTCCCCTCCCTTTCTCTGGATTGCCACAACAAAACTATGGTGACAAAAAATCATTATTTTTTGTTTGTTTTTCTGTGATAGGGTCTCCCTCTTGCCTGGGCTGAAGTGCAGTGGTGTGTTCACAGCTCACTGCAGCTCTACCTCCTGGGTCCAAGCAATCCTCCTACCTCAGCCACCCAGTAGCTGGGACCACAGATGTACACCACTGCATCTGGCTAATTATTTATTTTTGTTAGAGGTGGGAGTCTCACTATGTTTGCCCAGGCTTGTGTTGAACTCCTGAGTTCAAGAGATCCTCCTTCCTCGGCCTTCCAAAGTGCTGGGATTACAGGTATGAGCCACTGTGCCCAGCCTGCATCTTACTGTATAGATGGTGTCTTACCATCACCATAGGTCTTTTTTTTTTTTTTCCACAACAATTACTCCAAAATTGCAGTGTGTCTTACAATTAATGATTTGGATTAAATGAAATATCACATAAGAAAGAGATGAGATAGTGATGTGATCAAGATGGTGGACTAGGAGGTGTCAGCCTTCATTTCCTCCACAGAGACACTGACTTAATATACAGACCAAAATACCTTTATTTTGGTAGAATTCTAAAAACTAATTAGGTTTTAGTACCCCAGGCAAGCATGAAGTCAAGAAGAACCACACTGAAACAGGTAAGGAGCCATTTCACTTTATCTGTGATTGTCCCTTCCAAAACCAGCACAGCTCAGCTTGGGTCACAGGTTCTTCCTTGGGGGAAAGAGAAGAGCAGAGTATACATCTAATGTTCTGGCTTTTTGGAGGGCTGCCCATAGATTGGTTTCCTCTCTTGCCTAACTTGATATACTAATGGAACTGGAATACTGTGGATGCCTGGGGCTACTGAAAGCAAGGATGTACATCTTGCTGCAACAAGGTTGGGAAGTACATCTTGCTGCAACAGTGGAGCGCCTGTAGTGCCAGAGACAGAGGTTGGCACACTCAGCGCAATTGAGAAAAGGCTCCCAATGTGTAGCTTCTCTCGGGAAAGAAGGAAAAGAGCAGAACATGTGTTAGTATCTCTGCCTTTTGGGAGAGCTGCCTAAGGGACTGCTATTTGTCACCTAATTTGAGGTGCTAATGGGGAACCAACAAAATTTGAATGCCTGGGGGCCACTGAGCACAATGGAGAGCAGGGAGACTAGCTGCAGTAGTACCAGAGAACCTGCAATACCTCAGACAGACACTAGAGAGAACAGGAAATTATGCACTTCTGAAAGTAACAACAAACTGGCAAATGTCTGTAGTTGGGAAATTACGAGCACAATAATTATTCAGTAATAGACCCCAAAGAAAAGGAAGTGACTTAAAAAGAATTCAGAATAATGATGTTAAGGAAACTCAGGAAGCTGAGCACTCTGTTCTAGCAATAAGTAAAAGCTCATCAAACTGAAAGATCAACAACTCTTCTTAGATCCATAAAAGAAGTGAGGTCACAGCGCAAATCACTGCCCCCAAATTGGAAAGACAGGTAGATACAGAGAACCACAACATACCAGAGCAGAAACCTATGTGGAAACAAGTTCATCAGTAACAGTTTAGTTAGGAAAACCTGAACTGTAACTGATGAACTTCTGGAACATTTGGAGAGCTTCCAAGGAACTGGTACTTGAAAATCTGTAGAGCTC